GTTGGTCCATCCAGAATGTCGAAAATCGTACCAAATAACAAAACTTAAAAAAAATTGGTAAGAAAAAACCTCTCAATTATTTTTAGTTAGGTATGTCACAAGAACCAAGCACTTAGGATATTAATAACAATTCCCATTAGACCACCAACGATCACATCACAGTGTCGTTTTAAATTGAATTGAATAATAAAATACCTATCAGAGTAGCGTATCTAAGTGGCGTGACGATGAAAGTACTTTATCAGTGAAATACCTATAGCACGTACAAATCGTGGATCATTTGTTGTTAATTATTGTCATTCGTCAATGTGTAGCCCAACAAAAAGGTTATATTTGAAGTCCAGACTTCTTACCTTCTGACCGATGGAACAACACAATCGAAACCGTAGCTTCGCTAGAAAAAGAACAGTAAACAGGGCACGATGTATTGACTCAAGTATTACTAAAGGTATAGCGAAAGATATCCCTAAAGTCTTCAAAGTAGCTAAGAAAATATTTATTTAACTAGCTAAGGATTGGCAGAAATAGACAGAAAGACAAAGGAAAAGCAAAATTCGGCGGTCAACAGAAGAATTGTCAAAACTGTATAAAAGTGTGAAACTTCTTTGTTCGATGATCTAAAAACGAATGTACGAGTATAGTGCAAGTAAATCTAGAGTTCTAGAGGATAGATTCTCTAAACCTCGACTTTAAAAAAATTTAGACACTTTTTAGCATTGGTAAAGTGCAACCTAACGATTTCCCCTGTACATACTACTAACAAAACAAACACCAAAACTTTATGAAAATAATTGTAAATGTATAAATTCGTATCAATTTGTTTTCTATAGTTCCCAAATAATGACAAAGAGCATAAACAGATGTTAATGATATTGTACCAAAGCTTTCAGCGTGATGATGTCACAAGCTATTATTGGCGATTATATCTCATATCAACCAAACATTATTTACAAAATAATATTATGCCCTAGTTTAAACGATACAATGTTTTGATTTTGTCAATTTATTATTTATCAGAATAATATTCTTGTTAATCATTGATCCATTATTGGAACAGTGTAGGGGAACAAATCGTTAATCGAAAGTTACGGTCCAGAACCAGTAAACAAGAGCTCGTTACCCGGCACACAAATGCGTAAGACATTCATATTCGCGTATGTTTGTCACAGTTTCACAAACCATAGTTCCCGCGGCCTATTGTTTAAGAAATCTACGTTCAATGGTAGATTGGTTGAGATTAACCAGTCGTGATGTGGCCCATATCTCGATGAAAGCAATCACGATCACCGCCAGAGACATACTTGTCACACGAACAGTTCTTGAGATGATCACGACGTGGCCTCGAGCCCATACTTACACAAAGGAAATCGAATAAAATGATAAAGGACATGAATATGTAACATAACAAAAGCTGTCCTTCAAATCTTAAGTACTTGACTTGCAAAAGTTTCAACATGAATCAAGTTTTACGAGCATAATGATGTAAAATTATGACCTTATGACAAGATCTTAAAGAAGGTATGACAAAGAATGAAATGTGTGCATAAACTTTTTTTTTTATTCGCACTAAACACAGTCATGAGAAATTATTAGTGCAGTAACCACAAATTATCGAAGTAAATAGTCTTATAGGTACTGGTTACAATTGGACAAATCGAGCACGCGATATTTCATGCTTAGATGGATTAAATAATCATACACGAAGGAAATATAACGGTTCATAAATAAGGAGGATCTGTGCAATGACAGAATCGCCTATGAACATATTTAGTTAACGGGGACCAGTAATTGTTAAGTCGTATGCATACAGCAGACGGCAGCAATCCAATTCTTCCACATCCCAGAAACGGTAGCTCAATTTAAATATTAATCGAAACCTGTTTCCTGACTTAGCATAAGCTTTTGATACGATATCGAAAATGGTATTTCAAGTATAAAAGCAATTGGTTCTTAATTTCGATAAACGTTAAAACAGTTCTACTGCAAGGCAGAATGATGGGCTTATTTATCTGCATAGACGTAGTTAATTATACAGACATTAAAAAAATTGCTTCTCCACCTGGCTCAAGGCACGTGCCTCGTTCACCTGTTCTTTAGTCGCACTTTTAAATAAGTAGGCTCTCGAAACCGGCAGTCTTGCTGTTGAACCATGCTATTATTTTTTGTATACGCTACAAAATTGCTGCATCGTACATGTATGTAATTATAAGTCAGCAATCGTATGTGATAGCAGCCTTTTATTATTTCTAAATGATGATGAAGGCGCAGATGTGGTTTTAAATCATTCGAAGTCGAATACTAGACATTAAGCAACTACAAGAACAAATACATAACTTAGTAGAGTAGTATCAATTAAACTTGTATTTGGGAAAATAAGGCCAAGTATTGCATAAATTTGTAGTTGATACTTCTATTTATATCTGGTAGATACCTTTACCAGCCCACGCATACCAAAAAAAAATTACAGTCGAGACTTTAGGTAATCCATCATTTTAGAGTTTAACCATGTCTTTATGAGAAAATATCAAAAGTTCACCGAATATAATAGGTTGGGCACAAATTCGCGGTTGGTGCGATATTGATAAAAGCCATTTGTTATAGGATCAAAAACCACTAAAGTTAACAAAGGATATCTTAGTAGAGATTTACTTCATCGAATGCGTTAGTCAATATTAAATCGAGGTCAATTTTATCTAGCACGGCTAGATATTGCCCTCCATTTCGTCTAAATATTGATTTCTAAAGCCTAACTCTTTTCTAGCGTGTTGCATGCCATTTTATTCATCAATTACTTTTATGCATGCATAAGCGTTGTGCCAAGGTAGATAGAGAAAAAGTGAAGAAAAATACACCACAGATAATATTTAGATAATTAGGCTACAATATATTTGTCGAAAATCCATTCACCATTGAGACATTTACGAGTATGTATGTATGTAACAAGCTGTTCGTAGTCACATGTCGGTCTGCACAATTTTGGAGTTGCGTTTAGTTTTAACACAATTGGGTTAATTGCAATATGGTTCGACAGATTAGTTTTAGATTGGCACGTCTACATCTATGATTGGCGTCCATTAGTTAACGAGTTATTGTCGTTGGTAAAAATAGTCATTTAATGATTAATAAAAATTTTCCTTAGTTACGATTATGTTAAAAAAAAATAAATGTTAAAGACCGGGACGAGTAGGTACATTTGCTTGGTCTTGAGAATCCAATGTAGCCATTTATTCTTAATTTATTTTCAATTTTCGCAATCACATTCTTTTTGTTTTATTTGATTAATTATTATCTCGTTTTAATTCGTTCAATACCTGGAAAGTACCAATGTGACTTTTCCGAGTAATTATGTACTTTGTATAATTATTAAGACCTGGACTGTAGTTTCTAATAAGTTTGAAATCACCAATCCCTCTAGAGCAAGCGTGGTGATTAATGCTCAAACCTTCTCCTTGTGAGAAGAAGCCTTTGCTCATCAGTGAGCACTTATAGGATGATGATGTAATTTGTTTTTGAATAGTGTATCCACCCTCCATAACATTTTCTACGAATAAAGTAAGAAAAAGCCTCGACAATGTTTGTAAAATCACGGTCAATAGCCACAACGCGTTGACCACAGGTAAGGCACTTAGCTTTTAAATAAAACGACGCCTAGGCTGTAAGGCCGAGACCGTAACAATCGAGACCTAGAAAGGCGCACCTACTGAGATTTACATTAATATTCATATCATTGACTCAATAATATAATATTATAGACAGTTAATCAACAATGAATTGAGAAATGGCAATTCTAACTTAATTGTTGCATTTAATAAAAATCACGGTAATTTGTCTAGACAAATGTAAAAACCGTTAATTTATTACAAATTATAACTTTTTTAATTTGTTTTTTATTTATTTTTTAGGTAGATAAGGCCACTTCTAAAGTAAGGATAAAATACTTAAGTCTTGTACAAAGTACATTATTTTTATGAGTAGTTAAAAACATAAGGATGATTAATCTGGTCACAATACTAAACTCATACTGATTTTGTCTTAAATCTGTTAAAAGACCATTGTTTTTTTCTCAAATTACTTGAAATATGTATTGCGTAGGTATTATAAAGAACTTAAATTCACACTCACCATCAAATCCGCAGAAAAACGCAACGGCAGTCCTTTTATTCAGTCCAAAATTAACACCTCAATATAATATTTTGAATCACTTTAGTTCCACATAATCCATCACTTAGGGCTCATATCACGAACTGTACATAACAAAACTGAATCTACAAAGGTTTATAAGAAAACCAAAAAAGTTTAATAAAAAAAAACGCATAAAACAAAAATCACATTCGAATTTTGAATCAGAACTTTCCCGCCAAATGTTTATTTATTTCGTCAGTACCCGTAGGCAGAGAACGCGCAAGGCACAGCGACGCGCGTCCAACCACGAGCGGAGCCGGTTCGCTGTTGATTATTTTATTTTGAACTCGTCGGCCGCGGCCGCGCTGTCGCGGTTCAAGCGCGCAACGGCCAAGCGTCCCTCGATATACGATACCAAAAAAAGGAACTCTCAAAAACAATCCCTTTCTACTGTAATGGGATAAGAAGTTTTTTAAATTAGGTGAGGAGAAAAAATGACTAGACGCAATAAAACATAACCAGTTTATTGATTGCGTAGCCAGCTACGGTGTTTTGGAAAAACAAAATAAATAATTATATGTTTGTATGAACAGATTCAACGGACAAACATGCACAACAAATAATTACGCAAAATATAGTACAGCAGCGTTAAATTAAAAACATAAAATGATTACATATTACTTATACCAATACGTTCTTAAAATATGTTTATTATGTTTAGCCTAATTTATGCAATATAAAATTATTTATTTATTTACACAATTAATTCCTTAGTTTTGATTCGACACATTTTTGAGGTAAGTAGGAATCCATTGCAGTACTTGTTTAAAATTAAATGCTCAACTAACGCCATCTAGTAGTAGTAGCTAGAAATTGCATCAGCTTTCCGTTGGATTTTCTTCACTGTTCTTATGTGTTTCTGTGTCTCCTTTATTGTCCTTCTCTACTTCACTTTCTAGTTTTTCAATGTCTTCTATACTTAAATCTCCCTCGAAATCATTTTTATTTTTATTCACATTAATGTTACCTCTTTTTAAAAATGGTTCATGCAAGGCCTTGTACAGTTTTTTAGCTTTCGTCGCACCAAACCCGGGACACTCGGCAAGTCTAGTTTCGGAAGCCTTTATAATATTTTCTAATGTTCCGAATATTGATATTAAAGTCATGGCATCAGTTTTGTTCACGGGCTTTATTGTTGTTAAGGCATTTACCACCTACGAACAAAATAAAAATCTCGTTTAAAAACAAAGCTTTTTTTATGTGTCGGCAAACGAGCAGATGCTAATTGGTAAGTGATTGGGGAGTGATACGAGGAGGGGTACGATTGGGCCTCCGGTGACCTCACTGACACGGCGAAATACAACGCTATGGTTGTGTTATTGCAACTGGCGGCAATATTAATACAAGGCGAAAATTGTTACAATTAAAGGTGCCTACTATAATATAGCCGTCAAAATATGTCCAATATAACAAATATTTCCAATATAGGTAACAATATGTCGCAGTAGGTTCGGTTCCTTATGGGTATTCCCATGAACGGCATGAAAACAACTTGCGAAAATTGGATTAATTGGATTAAAGTATGTCTTAAAATGGGCGTAGACAGAGGTCTACCGAATTAAAAGTCTTGTGTCTTTCCAGTGACGTCGCGATTACCCTTGTCGGGAAACGGAACAAGGTCTATATTTGTACTATCAAGGGAGTGCCATTTTATCTACGGCCTCTCTCAGAAAGCGTACCAGAAGGCCGATTCCTCGGGATCTAGAAGCTTTTCATTAGAGTAAAGCTTGGATAACAAAGCATCATTGTAAGTGTAATTCTATGAAAAATAACGTATTATGTACTGCAAGCATTGTTGTTAGTGGCGTCAAAGTTAAACGATCAGTACAGTACAGTACATGCAGAGAGCGCCTGCGTAGTTTTGGTAGATGCGTACGAGCTGTGAAGAAGGAATTGGGCCGCGAGCAGTAGCTTCCGTGTTTCATCGGCAGACGGGAATTCCTTGGGTAAAATGAAATGTCACTGGTATGCAGAGTGAAGAAGAGGTAAGATAGTACAGGTTGAAGAGCTCCTTCGATGCGGTTTGGGATGCCGGTATCAACAAAAAATAACGTCAACTATTCAAATATAACCCTAATTGAAACTTCAAAAACGATAATTTTTGCTCTAGAGTTTTGAATAAGATTGCTACTTATGAAAACATCATGCTTTTGCGTCATATGCTACAAAAAATCATAAATTAATTTGAAAAACAACTATTTTTACTTAGGAAACTACCCAGTTCTTATCAGACTGCACTATGCCAAGTGCAGTCTGAACCATAATATTTTATCTGATAATTAATTAGCCAGTCACCTTTATATTTGTGGACATTTGGCCATAGACACATATGCACATAATAATTATTTACATAGTTTTGATGTGTGTACAACTTAACCTTTTGATGTGGGTCATTTTCAATCTTCTCCATGATCCTGTCCGGTGGCTTATTTTCATAAATTTTGTAATTCTCTATAATCTTGGCTGCTTCCTCTGGATTCCATGCCAACATTAGTGTTAAGTCTGTCAGCAAGCATATTCTTGTTAAATTTTTTAACACTACATGAGGATCTTTGAGATCAACCTAAAATATAAAGTTCAAACTATTACTTAACAGTTTATTAATTAAAAAAGGTTTGCAATATCAATCAAATCTGTCAAGTGTAATAAGTTCTAGAAAAGAAACCATTCCCTGCATTACACAAGTGTCACTGAATAGATTTCTTTTTTTTTTTTTGTATCACATATAAAAGTAAATTTAGAATGAAGTTAAAAGTTACCTGAACTAATAGAACTCTAAGTTCATACTTCTTCCCAAGTTCCTTGATCCTGTTATGTATGTAATCTGGATTCATGTTGTGATAGCGCAGTGACAGGAAGAGTAAACATATTGTCTTTCCCACCTCATAATCGGGAATTATATCATCGTATTCCCAAGGAACACTTGTAATGAACTTTAAGACTGGATTGCCTCTCTGAAAACAACGTAACTTTAAATTGTAACAGGATCAAACATGTTCCAACGAGTCCACAAACAGTGCATATATTATTTACATACTGCCATTCAGGAAATGAATTGTGCAATGTATCTAGAAATAATAAGAAACAACTATGCCCTCAATTTGTCTGCTAATAAACTATAAATATAACTACATATTTGGAATAAATGAAGATAGAAGTAGGTCGTAGATTACTTATGTCTCCAAATACTTACTCCGTAGATTGATAAACTATGAACTTCATGGTCATGGTAAAAATCTGTTATAAATTACTTTTGTCATAAAGTAAAGATCATTTCAAATAACGTACCTGTTTCTGATTTACTAACACACAATGTGTCTTCGAAGAAGCTGGCTTAGAAACCGCCTCCTTAGACGTTCCTAAAATGTTTGGTATCACAATTACATTGGTTGTATTCTTACAAGACACTTAGACATTTATTATCAGAAGCTAAACCACATCGATATCTGTTCAGAGATTGAAATTCAATGCCAAAATCCTCTTACCCGGTTGAACTTGCTGTAAAGTTTCCGATTCAAGTTTGAATTGCTTCGGAGATGTGGGCTCACTGATTTGGGCAAGTAAATCATCAAAACCATCTTCTAATTCCATTATATTCAACTTTAAAAGCACTTATATATTATATTTTAAATAAATACTGAATTCAATAAAAATCAATTCAAATATTGTGTTTACTTGCCTTGTCTTGTTGACAATTGATCATTTTTGACAGATAGTTTTCATTTCATGCAGCAACATTGTGCATCATATTTTCTGTCTTTTCTAAGCAATTAAAAATTCCATGTGAGTTGGTATGTTTTATCTTATAGACATAATTATGCTTATGAATTGTCAATTTAGCTTAATGCTGTTCACCTACTACTATGTACAATTTATAAATTAATTTTACCAACACATAAGTCAACAATGAAACGAAACAATTTTTGTGATCTGTGTCCGTTGCTGTCAAAGTCCATTTGGTTGGCTTAAAGGACTCGTATCCAGGCCATAAACTCCAAAAAAAAAAAAGTCCATTTGGAAAACATGTCAATACAAGATCTGTCAAATTGTTGATTTCTTTGAAACTGTTGAGTTGAAAGGCCGCGTAAAATTTAATAAATGAATGTTATCTTTGTATAATAAACTATGTATTGTAATCCAAAATATCAACTGAAATGATCGACACAGACTCAAGTGTCCTAAACAAAGTTGAGGGTTATTTTAACTCAATACATGTCGTGTGATGTAAAAATGTTTCTTTAATTTTGAAGTAACAACAATGTTAAATATTTACTATGAACAACTTGCCTTCTACTAGTAAATCAAAACAAAATGATGGATTTGAGGACGATGAAATATTCGAGGACTCTTCGTTGCTGGCCGATTTTGATAATTCCTTTGTGCAAAGATCCAAGTTCTCTGAGAGTAATTTGAATGATTCTAGAAACAAAAGTGGACTTAACGTTAGGTATGTGTGTTAAATAACATTAAAATAATTGATCTCGTTATCTACACTAACCATTATAAAGCTCAAGATTTTGCATGTTTGTTTTTAGCAGGTTCTCTAGAACCACTGGTTTGAATTGATTCATTTTTTGTATTGGATAAGCTATTTGCTATGAAAAGCTATAAAACATCACTGTACTAGCAATATAAGCCGAGTAACGAAAATATTATGCCTTAGCATTACTACATTGCAGTTTATACTGCATTCACAAAAATGTCTTCCTCAGCTCAAAGATTTTATTGTTTCCAGTGCTCTATGTTGTGATGAACAGATCAGTGGATATGATAAGCTGACAGGCAAGACATGGATCTACCCAACCAACTACCCAGTTCGGGACTACCAGTTCAATATTATAAAAGCTGCCATGCTTCAGAATACCTTGGTAAGATCATTTTATTTTGTTGTTTAAGTGATTTTATCCAATACAGTTTTTTATCAATTAAAATGTCTAGTTTATTTATTCATCTGCTTTTATGAGGTTATGTTCAAATTATTCACCACAATCCATAGAACACTAACTTGGTTAATATTTTTTGGGGACTGACTTTTTTTTCTGACCGTTTCCATCTTACCAATCTGATAGAAACTGAGAGAGATGAAAGAGAGTCTCAGACTGCTATTGACTAAAAACCAAACCCTTACTTCTCCTGCTCCAGGCTTGGATTGCATAACATTATTGTGCTTGACTCTTACAGAAGTACAATTTCTTATTGCTACTAATTTTAACATCTGCATATAAATTTGTTGATCCCCAACATAATTTCATAATAATTTAAATTTTTCTCTTGCAGGTTAGTCTTCCCACAGGATTGGGTAAGACCTTTATAGCAGCAGTGATAATGTACAACTTCTACCGCTGGTATCCACTGGGGAAGATAGTGTTCACTGCACCAACCCGTCCACTAGTTGCACAACAAATAGATGCATGCTATAACATTATTGCTATACCACCCAGTGATACTATTGAAATGACAGGTAATGTACATTATTTAAATGTTATATTTATTATCAAACCTTGGCAATTAATTAATTTCATCATTTTCTAATTAATTGATTTTATATGACTCACAAAACTTACTTAATACAAAAGTAATTAATTTCGTCCAAATATTTCAAATGGCATATCTCAGTACCTATTCCAAATTTAAATTGTCAGTGGACAATGCTGTTGATGATTCATTTTGATTCTCATATTAATGGTGCACATGATAATAAACAAATATATTTACAGGTCATATGCAAGTCAACACCAGGAAAGAACATTGGAAGAACAAAAGAGTCTTCTTTGCCACTCCACAAGTGATTTACAATGACATGAAGTCTGGCATATGTCCTTGTGATAAAATTCGTTGTCTTGTGATTGATGAGGCTCATAGAGCGAGAGGGAACTATGCATATTGCCAGATTATATCAACCTTAGATGATGTTGGTCATAAAACATACAGGATACTGGCCTTATCTGCCACTCCTGGAAGTAAGGTTGAAGATGTTATAAATGTAAGTTAAAGTTTTAATGTGGATTTTTTATGCTTCTTTGTATAAGGCTGGTACAACCACAATGACTATTTGTATCCATATGCGGCGTCGATTGTTTACCATTAGATAATCCGTCTGCTTGTTTGCAGACAAAGAAAATGATACCTGGGCCTACTTTAACAGTCAATTTAAATAATCTGTAGGTTTGCTTCATTAAGCTTTATATAAAACATATTAAATCTCCATGTCTAGTAGGAAACTGGCCAGTTACCAAAAAGTGTGATGAATTATTGATTGAGTATTTATTTTTTGTAGGTTGTAAAAAATTTACATATAGCCCACTTGGAACTAAGGACCGAAAACTGTATCGACGTAGCGCCGTATAGCCACGCTCGGAAGATCAAAACTGTGGTACTAGAGCTGGGATTCGAGTTAACTCACATTAGGCAGCAGTATATTGAGGTAACAATACTTTATTATTAGTAACTATATTTTTAGTAGCAGTTTCACCCGCTTCTTGGCTCCTACAGATCGTAGCGTGATGATTTATAGCCGATATAGCCTTCCTCACTAAATGGACTAATGAACACTAAAATAGACTTTTCAATCCGTATTAGTTTCTGGAGATTAACATATTTATACAAATAAACTCTTTACTTTTATAATATTAGTATAGATTGTATTTAGGATTTTTATTACTAGCTACAGCTTCATACGCGCAGTTTCGCCAACTGCTCAGCTCTTTTTAGTGATCTTTATACTGTGTTAGCGTGATGTTGCCTATCTAGATTTTGACGAGTTAATTCGGTGTTCTATGGCATTTTTACGTTTACAAAAGTTATTCACTGTTTTATTTTTGTTATAGTCTCTCGATAAATTCACCATCCAATTCTGTTTGAATGGAATCTGTATTTCTGAAGATTAAAACATGTAGCAAATCAAAAACTCAAGCAATTTTACAGTAACAAAATGTATCGAATGTTTCTTTGGAAATCAATTACATTTTTCCTTTCTTAATAGATTTGTATCAGCCAGAATCCAATGAATAGGAGCACATTAATCTGATATTAACATTGAGCTTGATTGAAAAAACAACTCTTTTCAGATTTTAGACGGATACGCCAGAAGACTGAAACAAATGAACATACTGCCTCCTAACTTAGGGAATCTGTCTAAAGGCCGGATCGTGATGTTGTATAAAGAGTATCAGCAGAAAGATCGAAGTTTGAGGTAAGGAAACTATTCGAAACAAAGAAAGCTGTATTTTGAGAAAGAGTAGGTCGATTTTCCTATTTTTAATTAGTGGAGCAAAACACATTTGCCGACATCCCTCCTACTAACTCTTTTACATCAGACTAAGCCTTCGCTTACGGTCATATTGCGCAGCGCGTCGTCGTTCTTACTTAATAAGTATTGTAGACGCCCGGTGAGACGCGTATCGCGCCGCATCTCCGTAAACGACTCCTTACTAAACTTATTTTTAACAATTTAAACATTTTAGAATATTTGCCATACATGTATTAAGTATCTATATATATAAAAATCAATGCCAATTTTCGTTGTAATGTTATAACTCAATAATGCCTTTACTGATTTAGCTATTTTTAGTCTTGAATTATTATAAATTATTAGAGAAAAACAATTTAAAATCTTGAAAACGTGTCATTTCGAAATCCACTCGGTCGACCGCTAGTTTCATTTATAAATGCAAAGAGCTGTTTTTTTTAATGCTTTAATATTTTGCTAGGCATCCACAACACAACTACATAATGAAAGACTTCACGATCCTGATCGCTCTGTATCATGGGCTGGAGCTGCTGGTTCAGCACGGTTCTAGAATATTCCTCAACTTCTTCGATGAGCATCCGGAGAAATCTTGGATGCAGTCGGATGATAGACTGACAGCCTTGCTGGAGAGGCTGCGTGACGACCTGGGCGTGAATCCTTTGTCACTAGACAGGAGTATACTCCCTGATGGGACAATACCTGAGGTAAATCCTACTAACAATATTATTAACACGTTTCGCCGTGTGAGTGAGGTTACCGGAGGCCCAATCTTTTGCCTCCCCCCATCCCTCCCTAATCCCAAAAGTTCCGAAACCCTAATCCCTAAAAGGCCGGCAACGCACTTGTAACTCCTCTGGCGTTGCGGGTGCCCATGGGTGGCGCCGATTGTTTACTATCAGGTAATTCGTCAGCTCGTTCGACCCGACCTATTACATAAAAAAATCTTAAAATCTTTGAAGCAACATTGCACACACATAAACAGGTTATTAAATAAAACACAACTATAGTGCTTCTGCCAAAATGTATTTTATTAAATCTATTTCAGATACCAAAGGACTTGACATTCGGTCATCCCAAGTTTGATAAACTGAAAGAAATAATGACATATCATTTCGCTAAAGCACAGCAAATGAAACAAGATACAAGAGCAATAGGTAAGTTCCAAAATCTTTTAATACATACTTGGTAGGTGACATTTTGTAGTACTTATACTATTTACTTTGCAATTGTACTAATTAAAAACATTCACAACATCTATTATACAATGGGCGGTTATACCAAATTAGGCAAGAAGCAATTTCTTCTAGGAAGCCTTAAGTAATGATGAGATAAAACTAGCAATTCTCACGCAGTTTCACCCTCTGTTTTTCTCCTAATAGTTTCTCTCTCCTGGTAGTAGCGTGACAATTTATAGCCTATAACGCCCTTCCTCGATAAATTAATTATCTAACACAAAAATATTTTCGGTTCCAACCAGTAGTTCCTATAGCAAATAAACTCTTCAGCTTCATAATATGAATATAGATAGTAAATGTAAATATGAAAGGTATGAGAAAAAAATGTCTTAAACTTTGTAAAATTTGACCTATTGTCGATTGAGGCGCCTTCTACACAATATTGAAATAAAACAAGTATTGTTTGTTGCCAGTATTCTGCGAGTACCGTGAGAGTGTGAACTTAGTACACTGCCTACTGCTGCAGTGTCGCCCTCTCATCAAACCGATGATGTTTGTGGGACAAGGTGCCTCTGGTGAGTACACAATTCAAATATGCCATATAATATACTAGCTATAGTTCAAAATTTCTTTAGCTTGTCCCAGTTGGAAGCCTGTGTTAACCGGAGATAGAATAAGTTTCCGCCAGTAAAATAATTTGCAAGTCAATCGCTTAGAGCCTATTCAAATCAAGCAAACAAAAATTAAGCTAAATGCCAAATCAATTTGGGTATTCTTTACTTTTTTAAAATGCATAAATAATAAAATCTAATGGATATATAACGTTTTATAGCACTTAACACAGTAACTATTCTAAACAGTTACGTCTTTTTATACTCCAATTAGCAGCAACAAAACTTACGTACCACCTAGTTTTAAATAGTCTCCAAGGCGGCAAAGTCTCTTACTATGTAGACGACCATTTTATTTTATGACATAAATAGGCAAATTAATAGCCATATCACTAGATAGCAAGCGATCGGTGTCGCCCGTGGAAACTCACAACACTGAATTGTTATAAGCCGTTGCCAGCATTTTAGAGGATTTTGTAGATTTTGGAATGGTAGGAGGTCAGAAAAGTTGTGGTCCCTCGGTAGAAATGTTAAAATTATCTAAACATTGTTTAATACTTACAGGTAAAGACGGCAAAACGGTGGTATCTCAAAAGCAGCAATTGCGAGTTATGCGAAGTTTCCGTGAAGGGCAATGCAACGTGCTAGTAGCCACCTGTGTCGCTGAGGAAGGGCTCGACGTGGGTTCCGTGGACCTCATCATCTGCTTCGACATATCCACCAAGTCTCCCGTACGATTGGTACAGAGGTCTGTTTTACTTAATTCTTAATAAACTAATTATAAATTATCCTTATACTAGCTTTCACCCGCGGCTTAAGTAATCTATCCCGGGATTTTAAAAACAGCAGCAACGTTCAAAGAAAGAGCTCGACTAAAATAAGCAAATCAAGTATAATTTATAGCAGCAGTCATAAACATTGCAGCTATCGATCAGTAAGAGAATTTTCGAAATCGAACCAGTCGTTCCAAAGATTACCCCTTGCATACAAACTTACAAAATGTACCTCTTTATAATATTGGTATAAATACTATTAGGTTATATGTAGGTAATGAAAATTGATTGACTTTTTAGGTGCGGCCGCACAGGTCGAGAGCGCGGAGGTGAAGTCTTCATTCTCGTGACTGAGGGTCGAGAACATCAGGTAAAATCTACATACGTTATAGAATCGCCATTTTCCTTGACCTATAAGTAACTTTGGAACAACTAGTAGGTACTGCATTAATCGATATAATTGAATTGTCATGAAAATAGATTATTACAATACCGCCGACGTGTCTTGGCGAGTCTGAAATTAGCCGATTAGCTGCGTAGTACACAATTTTGTTCCTAAAAAATCCATTGCGCAGACAAACGGCTAACTTCAGACTTGCCAAGATACGTCAGCCGTACTGTAAATATTCAGCTTAATAATAATAAAATAGATTAAGTCCACTTGTAACCCAATTGGTTGACACCAATTATGTATACCTTATTATTATTTACATTCTTTATTCAACATATAAACATATAATTTACATTTTTAAATATTTCTTAAAAATTGAAAAGAAAAAAAAAACATTTAAAAATATAAAAAATAGTGTCCCACCGGTATCGGGAACAGGGTCCTAGCTACCGGCGGTCAGGGCTCCAGAGAAAGGAACCTCCTGACAATACGAGCCGTGTCCAGGAGTACCACTTTCTGAATCAAGCCCTTAATCCAGCCACCTAACGAGAGCCTCCTAAGATGTTGGTCGAGGCTCTTGGCTATTAAGCCATTGGCTGACACGACTATCGGTACAATGACTGCCGAATCCACATCCCACATGTCGACAACCTCGCGTGCCAAGTCAATATACTTGATTAGTTTATCTTTCTCAGCTTTCACGAGGTTCTCGTCATGTGGGACGGCTATGTCAACAATCATTGCACGCCTCTCGTTTCGGTCCACCACCACAATATCAGGCTTATTGGCCACAATAGTCCTATCAGTGATGATAGACCGGTCCCAGTACAAGGTGATATGACCATTTTCAAGAACTGGGTCGGGCTCATACCTGTAGTACGGCACTTCCGATCCCACAAGAGAGTACTTCAGAGCAAGCTGCTGATGGATGATCCTAGCTACAAGGTTGTGCCTATGCAAGTACTCGCCGTTAGCTAGACGAGAACAACCAGAGATTATGTGTCGAATTGATTCTCCCGGACGGTGACATGCCCGACAGATGTCAGCCGTGCCGTCCTTCACAATAAATCTCCGGTAGTTATTCGTCATGATAACTTCGTCCATAATTGCACAGACAAACCCTTCGGTTTCCCCAAAGAGGTCTCCGGAACGCAGCCAGGATACGGACGCCAACTGGTCTACATCCGGCCCATGTAGAGCTCGGAAAAAGCGTCCGTGAAGCTCCTTGCTCTGCCATACTTCCCTGCGAGCGTTGGTGTCAAGTACGACCGGTTTACGCCAGTTCTCGCTAGCCAGGGAGAGCGGGGTGAGCCCTTTGTCCACTGCCACTACATCTCGATGCATACCCACGTCGGCAGCAAGGAAATATTCCCTGAGACTACATACCTCGCGGTTGTGTAGGGTCTTGGCATTTAAAAAGCCTCGACCCCCACACTTCCGCGGGATATACAGTCTCATCACCGACGATCGCGGGTGATGCATTCGGTATGCAGTCAGCATTGTTCGGACCCGCCTATCCAGGGTGTCAAGTTCGGTTTGAGACCATTTGAGTACGCCGAAAGAGTACATCAATACCGGCATGACCCAATCGTTGAAAGCTCGCACCTTGTTTCCGCCTGAAAGAAAGCTATTATTATTATTATTATTTGTATGTCTTTACCAATCACGGGACCACAGGGTCCCGGTCATTTGGAAGGCGTACGAGGGGCCGGAGCCAACTGCGCAGAGGCCCTTTAGACAACTTTAATCTAAATGAAATGGGACACTAACCGGCGACTATCCCTGTATGCACTATGGAAATGCACCCAAGGACAGTCTCCGGTTAGTGTAGGACTATTGCGGATAATGGAAACAAGGGATAAGACTATGGGTGTGGGTTGTTATGGACTGGTATGATGGGAACTATGGAAGGACTATGGCACCTGCCGAAACAATGTAATAAATACACGTAAAAATGGCCGGTGGAGACTCGCCAACTCACCGACCGGGCCCCCGGGAATGGTTGCTAGTAATAGCAACAGAGGGACAACGGAAATGTGAGTGGCTGAAGGGTGAAGAAACTGCCACCAGCTTTCTACTCAGATCATCTGCATCTGCCTAAGCATCCTGCATCACTGGCCCACTCGCCGCTTACGAACAGCTTCCACCCTCCGAGCAGGATCACTACTCTCGCGACTCCACTCTGGACGGCCAATGAAGGCAAGCCAGAGGTGGGAGACCTGTTCCTCGTCATCGTCCACTCCGGCCAGCCAATGAAGGCAAGCCGGAGATGAGGAACGGTGACTTCTCCCTGGAGCAATCGGGATGATGGTAGCCCGCGGGATCGCTAATTCCCGTCACCTCGCCTCAAGGTGCCCTGCGGGCTTATTATTATTATTATTTACAATGTTGTAGACTCTAATAGACTGTATGCGACAACGAGACGGGTTGAACAAGAAGGTGCTTCAATCCAAAGAGGTTGAGAACAACCTGTATAAGCTGAACCCTCGTATGATCCCTTACGACTTCATGCCTCAATGTCAGAAGATGTACATCACTGTAGAAAAGAAACAGGACCCTAAAGAGAAGGCTAAAGAAGGGATTGATAAGGCTAAGAAGGTAAGGACTTTTAAATAGTAATTATGAGTATTATTTCTTGATCAAATTAATTAGTGTTTAAAGTTCTAAATGAGCGTTATAAAGATTTATAACTCTTGTTTCTTGTTTCAAAATTTTTGTCTATTAAAAAACCGTACGGCCTTTGTTTAGACGTAGTGAGGATGGGGCCTTACTAATGGTTAATTCTTTATTCCATTTTGTAGGGGCAGGTGACCTCATTGCACCTGGAAGTTATTTCTCTCCGGCGATATCATGTAGGTGATATGATGGCACAAGCGATCTTTTTTGTTCACTCTGAAATCATGACTCGGTGACTTTATACTAACCCCCAGGCAATTATACTAACCCCCAAAAGGCCTGCATCGCACTAATAGGTCTTCTGATGTTGCGATGACTGTTTACCGTCCTATCACATAAAAAATAAAAGTCATTCTTTATTTATCCAGGGACAAAAAGACCTGCGTTCAATGTTGGCCAGACCGTCTACAAGTTCGGGTTCTTCAGGCAGGGAAAATGACAGTAGAGGTTTGATCACTGAAAATGAGTTCAAGGAGTTATTCCCCGAAGGATATAGCAGCACGTCATTGTTCGCTAGACCTCAGGAGTACTGGGCGATGAGTAGAGGTTAGTTGTAAAATATATTTGTATAATTCATTTGAGACAGTTGAGTATATTAGAGGAAGTTTGAAAGTGGCGCCAGTGACTGAAAAGTTAAAAGGGAGCCGTTTGTCTTAGTATGGCCATGTAAAAAGGAGGGATGAAACGCATATTACAAAAAAAGCCATGAGTATAAATATGGATGGAGGGAGACCAAAGAAAATATGGATGGATTGTGTGAGAAGTGATATGGAAGACAGAGGAGTTAATGATAGCGTGACGGGTGACAGGACAGAATGGAAGAAAAAAACATATTGCGCCGACCCCAAATTAAACGGAACAAGGGCAGAAAGATGATGATGAATTCATTTGAAACAGTTAGAGCAAATTAATTACTTAACATCTAGTCAAATCCAATACTTTACTTAATGTAAACACGATGGAAATGAGTTTATTCAGTTGTATCGGCTGTATTTGTTATAATAATGTTAGGTACATATCGACTTCCATAGGGTCAAGTTACTTTAGAGGCAATGGTAGTAGCAACTCGACTATCCTGTAAGATTGTCCTTATAACCTATAACGCAAGTAAGTACAATTACTTAACTTAAATAAAATGTTACCTTTCCAGAAAAAATTAAAGAAATATCAACGGATACACCAGACGAAACAGAATTGAAACTAAGTAAATGGTTGGAATGGCAGCGGACGCTACAGAACACTGTAAACGTCCAGCACTCGAGGGATGCAGAGATACTTGCAGAACTGCTGCAGTATAGTGATGCAAAGAGATTTGACATGCCTGCCTCTACACAAAATCCTTGTAAGTATCCGTAGTATGTATTTCAATGGATTATAAATACCTGCAAACAGTTATTATTCTGTAAATAGATAACGTATCTTACCTCATATTCAGTACTGCTCTGTGTTACAAAAATATTTGTTTCATTATCAATCATTGCCAGCCCAACAAAACATTTGAATTTAATAATTTGATTCGAACTTTTTTCCTATTTAGGTTTCGGCAGCCAAGAACTTCGCACCCAACCGCTCGTTTTACAATCTCCAGCTAAAATAAATATGTCTCCAGCGAAAACGAATAGATCTCCAGCCAAAATCAATAAACAAACGAATAAAAAGAAACAAAAAGTTCCTTTATCTAGGCCGTTGGATAAAAAGGATGGAGACATTCGAGCTCTGTTTAGTACAGCGACAAAATCGACTAAAAATTATACTAAACTCATTAGTGACTTAGGACTACAATCTGACAGCGGTGTGCCCACACGACTCATAAGCTTACTCGTAGACTTAAGCCTGGAAAATACAATTACTAACAAAAATTGTTACATCTGCCAAAATATTTGCGATTGCAACCTTCTAAAGAGTAAAACACAGGATAATAAACTACCTATGGTGGTCTTAGAAACTATAAAACAACCGAAACTACCTAATTTATATTTGATCGATGATTTTGACGCAGAAACAATAATGAAGTGTATGAAAAAGCCCGATAAGAAAGATGATTATGATGTCAATATGAATAATTTTGATTTAGGAGACGATTTTCTTTGCGAAAGTCCCGTCTACGATACACCTATTGAGGAAGATAATAAAATAAAAACAGAGACTGCAGTTACAGATAATTTTGATTTAGGTGACATTGATGACATATTTGCTAACAGCAGTCCGGAAGAAGCTATAGAAAAAGAAATAGAGAAGCATGACAAGTCTGTAGAAAAAGAAGTCGAAGAGAGAATAAAGAAAGACAAAGTACTTCCTGACAAAAGTGAAGTGCTTATTACAGGAAAGGATGGAGACCTTGAAGAAAAAGACGAAGTAGTTATAGACAAAGACGATGAACCTAAGGAAGCTAAAGACACTCTAGGCTTCTTCGGTTTAGACAGCATTGAGGACATATTTGCTGACGACGAAATCGACAATACTCCTCCAGAACCAACTCAAAACAAAACCAAAGATATACAACAAAATACTAAGATCCAAAGATCCAGATCACCTTCCGTACAATACCCACTCAGCCCCTCAATCCTATCTGGTAGGGTGAAACAAGATCTGCCGACTTCACCAATATTGGGCAGCCAATCTTGCAGATTCCAGCTAAGCACAAAAAAGAATCGATCATCGAATTCTAAACCAAGTGAACATAGTTGTAGAAAGCGACTGATTCAAGATTCAACAAATAATAACTTTGATATTGAACAATCTGGAAGTTCTAGGAGACCTAGTCTTATAGATACAAGCAATAAAAGCCTAATGACAATCACACAACTAGTAGAAATGATAAATAAAACTGGTAATGAATCCACATCGAAAACAAATAATTTTAATAAAGACCAAGAAAAAGAGAGAAGTCCCTCTCCAATACTCTTAACGCAGGCTGAGAAGAGGTCCATGGTCCACACAAACTCTATTGACAGATCCTGTGTCAGCACAAACGCTTTAGACAAATCTATCGCTTCCACATCTAAAACTAAAGACAGTCTCATTGTATTAGACAGTGATACTGATTCAGACCACGACAGCACACAAGTGTATGACGTCACAGATTGCTTTAACATTAACAATTTTAGTAAAATAAATAATACTAATACCAGCCCTATGGTAAACAAGAGAAAAAGAGACTTAGACGATAGTAATGTAATAACAGCCTCTCCGTATTTCAATAAAAAACAGAAATTAGACAACGAAGCCACCAAAGAAATGTCATTACAAGAAAGAGTGTTAGCAGCCATGAAAAGGAACAAAAGCAAAATCGGGAGCAATGATAAAACGGTACTAAATTGTGTAGTGTCACAAGGACTCTTGTCTCAAAAGGAAAATAAAAATCCTCAGCTCTTAAACGGAGATGCTGACGACGAAAAAAGTGAAGAACCACCAAAACAAATGAATTTAAGTATGCTACAAATGTTCAGACGAGAGAACAAACTTCAAACAGTTAGGAATAAATTTAACACAATATTCAAAACTCCCAAATCTCCTTTACTCGATAAACGAAAACTAGATTTTGATGATAGCGATGACGATTTTGTAGATGACAAAAACTGTGGTCCTAACAACTGCAAAGAGAACAAAATAGATGAAACTTACAGATCTACAACTAATCACAAAGTAAGAAAAGTAAGTAGCTTTGTTTAACTATCAGTAACTATTGAAAAAAAATTGTTTACGTTCTTAATCATCTTTGCCGTTGTTTTTGACAATGCCTTCTGTTTTCTTTGTCCTTTTTAGAAAAAGAAAAAAGGCAATGATTTCTTGGACTTGGAGGCTGAACTGACGGATGAAGAGGATCAAAGCGGTGATGAGCTGTCCGACGAAAGCATCGGCAGCATAGTGGACTTTATATGCGATGATGATAACATTACCCACCACGAGGATATACAAGCAGTTTACCTCAAGTCTGTCAAGTAAGGAAACACACAGATACATTACTAAGCCCTCGTTTATGCACATGAGGGGCAACACGCACCGCATCGTGCATTTGTCGTACATTGCTGCAGCAGACCTCGTTAATGCCCGTGGAATCACAAACATACGAACATTATGAGCAATGTAAAATAGACCGCATAACGCGACACACTGTGCTCCATAAATAAAGCCATTCTTATTACTCACCTTTCGTTAGACTATGTTGCCCAGTTCTCTCTCGAACGTTTCTCGAACCGACCACATTAATATTAGAGAGATGATGAATGGATATTATTAAAATCAACAAAACCATTGTTTTAATATTACATTTGTGAATTAGAATTAAGACTGTGTTATTATCTTTCAGGAGTCCTGTAAGAGGTGGCGGTTTTAAGATACCAGAGTTACCAACAAGGTTTAATAAGGAAGACATTTTATCTCAGTATGTCGAAGAAGATTCTTACGAAATGGTATGTTTGCCAAAATATTCACAAAACCAAATAGCAGATATCTTATCGTCATGGTAATTTTTCGCATAGTTTTAATGATTTTAATTATTACAGGATAGTTTCTGTGTGGGTTCCAACATCGGTTTAACACAAGGGCACGAAATATCAGAGCTAGAATTAGCTGAAATGAAATTAGAAGCGAAGAGAAAAGCAAAGAAAAAGTTCAGGAGAATTTGTTCGCAGGAAGAAAGTCCGGATATAGCAGTGGTAAAAAAAAGTAAACCTAAAAGGAGACTTATTGAAAGTGATTCTGAGGATAGCTCTTAGTGGTATAGTTGGTAAATGTATCTGGTGCTAGACATAGATTGTGATTGTTGGAGTAGAGTTGCTAACTTTTTGTTATTTTTTTACACCTACACAGAGTCCCGTTTTTATTATGAGATAGAAACTATGACAAAAGGCACTCGCTAGCAACTCGCGGATGCATCTCTCAAAGTCGTCAGTTTTTGTATAAAAACTCAATCTTACTCTTGTGTGCCATAATTATGAGACAACATTGTAATACACTATAGGTATATTAAATACTCAATGAAGCTATGTCAATTTCTTACGATTAGCATTCAGCCGGTCTGAATAAGTCACTGTGATATAAATTATAGTAATGATTAATAATACTTTGTATTCATTTTTAAGTGCAACTTGTAATTTATTATGTAATTAATGTGTAGTAATTGATAATTTTGTATAAATAGATGTAAATCATGTTGTAAATAAAACATATTGTATTGCTCTTATTATTACGTTTTATTTCCGATTCTCGTCAGTCTAGTACATAGGAAACAATAAAACATATAGAAGTTCCATCGAGTGAGAGTATGGGAAGCTTGCTTTACTAAAGACATAACATTGAAAACAAAATTTTATATAATTGTAATATAGCTGCTGTACTTAGCTCAAGATTGTTTTGAAATTTTTGTAAACATAGTTTAAAACTGTCTGATCTCTGGCTTCTATCCTTTTGCTAGCAATACACACTTTTGACGAGACATAGGTTTTACAAAAATTTCAAATCAGTCATGATCTAAGTATAGTTTAATCACCCTGTAGTGGTTTGTTAAATTCATCCAGTCTACAACAAACGAATGCAAGCTCCATCAGCAAGATTGAACATCAAATATATTTAAACCACATTGGAATCAACTCTATCTGTCATTCAATAATATATGTAATTATTTATATTCTACTCTTCAGCAACTTTAGATTCCACTTCCTTGGGCTGCCTGCCTTTGTGTAGATCCTCTAATTCAGTTTGAAGTTCTGAATATCTTTTTTGCAGTTGTTTTTCTCTGTCAGTTTGACGGTTCACGTCTTCAGTTAGTGACTGAAATAAAATAGAACAATTTCGTTTTTATTTGGAGTACTTTCGACTGCGTGATTTACGGATAGAAGATCTATGGTTACAGTTGCACAGCAATTGAATATTTAAAAACATAAAAAAATTAAACAATAGTGAAGGTCAAAATGAGACTACTATTCGCGATATAAATGACACTACAAATAATCAACTCGTATTTTAATGGCTCGACTTGTCGTGATAATATTAAAAATGTATTTCGCTACTCACCTCTATCCTACGTGGAATGGCTGCTTTTTCTTGTTCAGCAAGGAACTTGAATGTAGACAGTTCCAAGTTGGCTTGTTCTATCTGGTCTTGTAATTCTTGGAACTGTTTGATTAGGGATGCTGCCCTGCTCTGGTATCCACCTGATAGAACAGAGAATTAATTTATTAATGAATAGTACAGATTGCTTGAATTGGAGTTTCTTGCTTGTTGTTCTGCATTCCAATTTATAATTTGGAACAAGCACTTACCTTCACTGACGAACTGACTGACAGACTATAATAATATTATATTTTGACATTTCAAAACTACTTGTTTATGGTTTAGACAGAATTAAATCATTTTGACTTTTGAGGTGTGCATGTGATGTTATAGTGACGAGGATTTTTGTCAAGATTTGAATGATAAAATTACATTACTAGATCAGGAATTAAAACCGATTTTTGCTTATTCCTATGTCAACTTAAAATTAGCAATATATGCGTTTACCTAACACATGAACATACCTGTTAGCACCCTTAGTTTCTTCTCCATTTTGGAGCATTTCTTAGCTTCTTTAGCCATGTGACTCCTGTTTTGTTCCAACCGTTTCTCAGCTGATTCCAATCTGTCCTTTTTGCTAGCTAAATTGGCACGAGTGTATCTGTTTTGACCCGGCAGGAAGAGAACCTGAAAAGCAACATTTCAATTTATTACTGAAAAGGAAGTAATAGAATTTTGTGAAAAAATTTCCACTTTTAATTTGAACTCCATATTTTGCGCTACAATAACTTGTGTGTTGCGCAAATGTCGCTACTTACTTGCGCAAGACACTCTTCCCAGACTTGAGTGTAGGCGTCCATGCTCAGCTCTCCGTGGCCCATGCCAGCCTTCACTATTTCCATCTCCTTCTTCATCTCAGCTTTAGCGGCTTCCAATTCCTCAGCAGAGAACTCCTCGTACGGATTCTGTTCCAAGTACGCTAAGTGCGACGCCTGTAACTGTACTGCTCGTTTCTTGTCTATTCCTGTTGTGTGAAGTTTTTATGTTAGTATATTTTTAATATGTTAAAGTAGGAACAAAGTTTAAGTTTCCGCCCGTGGGTGTCGATTTTACACATTTTCAAGATTAAAAAATCTCTACGTATAATTCAAGATCAAAATTAGCCAAACCGGTAAAGGCTTTGTTGAGTTATAACAGTACAACGAAAAGTGGCATTGATTTTGATATATAGATACCGGACTTTCTAATCAACCACAAGTAATGTTTTGCACTGAATAATGATTGAGTTGCCAGTTAACCCTAGACAACAATAGAGATGTAGTAGTGAGGCAGGTACCGGGCGGCGGGTCCCGCAGCGCGTCGTAGTGCAGCATGGTGAGCATCTCGTGCTTGAGCAGTTCCTCAGCGTGCTGCAGCGCGGACAGCGCGGGCGCGGGCGCGGCGCCGCGCACCACGCTGGCGTTCACCTCGGCCGGACGCACGCACCCGCGCTGCACCGCCTGCGAACGCAGCTTCAGCGCCGCCACACCTACAACACGTACACACTACGTTACGACTTCAAACAGTTTTTATAGTTCACTTTATGTGCATACCGAAGTGTTCCTAATATCTTATTCCATTCAATTGTTTTCTGTCGTGGGTTACAATTACAAATATGTAATTGTTATAGGTAAACGAAACATGTGCCGTGCGAGAATCAACCCCGCCAAACATTGCACGGTAGCCGGTTGCACAACCAACAAGAAAAAAAAAATGCAGCAATATATTCGGCCTTTTTATAAAACAAGGTTTTTCTTTAATCCAGATCAAACCATTCTGCCAGATTTTGTATTTCGAATTGAAAGTAGATAAGAATAAGATTCAAAATTCTAAACCTTACTCAGTGGTTTAAATCCAGACTAAAGTTAATAACTTAATCCCTCTTATAACAAACAAACAGATTTACAGAGGTTCGATTTCAATGGTACAAAATAAAAAACTTTCCTTTCTTATGTCTAGAAAACACATAATGAAACATGACCTCTAAATGGTCCACTTACGTATTTCCTCCTGTTCCTGCTGCAGCCTTGCGTCGGCATCAGCCTGGTCTTCCACCTGCATATCGGAGCTGGAGCTCTCCATAGGCTCATCGTCCTGATCAGGCACCACGATCTCATAGTCGTTGCGCGGAGTAGGTAGCGAGGACAGGGCGCTACGGACGGACGCTTTTTGCTGTCATTAGGAAATAAAATTATTAGTATAGTATAAACCTCACTTTCTACAAGTATTTCGATGAGATCTATAATTTTTGTCTAAATAACTAAGATTTTTTTTCAATGCTCTTTGATAATTAAAAAAATAACATTCCGATGATGTGCAGAAAAAGCATCAATAAGGAATAATTCAGAAGTAAGTATGTTAAGACCCAATATTTGTATACTTTAAGTATATGCATGACATTTCTTACAACACCTTTATCAAAATTGTATGGTGGTAATTAATATATTTTAGTTCATGTACATACCTGTTTTTGCAACTGATTAGCAACTTGAGGTGTGTCGCCAGTGCTAAGTCTGTCTTCTGGATTAATACTCAATTTGTCACGAAGTCCTGGGGTCTGGAAAACGTAAATCAATGACAACAACAAATAGAGAAAGCATGTGTATCTATCACTTTTGTAGGAAAAACGTTATAATACATACAGTTAGACCTGGTTGAGCTGCAGCTTGACTGGGCGTGTTGAAACTACCCGGAGTCGATACTTCACTGCGTGATGACCTGTACCAGAGAATCACAATTTAATTTGAAACTAAGTAACAACATAGTTCCTGGTACATTGATTAGAACTTTTTTTTATTGTTCTTTGGCAAATAAACAGGTGCTACATGACATTAAGACAGAAAAATAAAATGATAACAAAATCTAAAGGAGTTTCCACACAATTAACTTACATTTTGTGACATATCTTAAATTAATTTTAAGAGACTACTTAATACAAACATTTCATTAGAGATATACACATGTTAGTAAAATTGTATTTGTTTCTCTTCTTATTTAAATAGTAGTAGTTATTTATGTAGCAGTTAGAAGCTGCTACATTCCTTGTTAATATACTTAATTAACAAATATTTTAAATTGGAAAACAAAAGATATAAAACTGATATTTTGTCTTACCTGAATGGTGTGATGAGCACAGTATTTGGCGTCGCGACGGCTTGCGACTGTGGTAAGGCACCAGAAAAGTCTGTCTGATGTAGCGGTGTGTTTAGACCTCCTTTGAGGGGTGTGTCCACATGTGTTAGAGCCATCACGTTTTGCGCTTCCATCAGGATTCTAGAAGGAGAAATTAATAAATAAAACAACTACGTAGGCTGTTGCTATCAACATTACAGTATCATTTACTGTTGCTGTTGATAGCTACAAAGTAGCGGCATGGTCGATATACAACAAGAAAATTTAACTTTAGTGTACAGACAGTTTCATAAAGGAATTGATCCAACTTAAATAGACAATAGGCATTCAGAAAAATACAATATGTAAAGAATTAAATTTTTAAACAGTTTTGTTTTAGTTTTTAGCAATAAGGTAGTTTCCTAGGTCAAAAAATAATTCGACGTTTCAATACAATGAAATATCGAAAAATAACTATACTTTTAAATCGATCGATCGATACACTAAATTTTAGATATTTTTAAGCTAATTTTTAAGAAATAAGTACGCTATTTGACGCAAAAAAACTATGACGTCATAAGTCAGTTTTTCATACAAATTTCATAGAAAAGTATCGTTTTTGATATTTGGATAAAAGTATTGAATTTGACTAGTTGGAAACTACCGTATTGCTGTAAAATCGTTACTAATTTTATAAAGGAGAAGAGTTTGCTTGTTCCTTTGAACGCATTAATCCACAAAAGTATGGTTTGAAATAAACTCGCTACAAGCAATAGGAGCGGAGAAGCGGTTGAAAACGTGCGAGAGTAAGGAGTAGCAGTACCTGTCCTGATGCTGGGCGGGCGTGCGCAGCGCGGCGGGTGTGGCGGGGGCGATGGCGTACTCGGCCAGCAGCGCGTCCGTCGCGCCGCCCGCCCCGCCCCCGCCCGCACACTCGCGCGCCGCCTCCGACGCACGACCCAACTTCACCACCTGCTGCAGCTCCTGTACCACGACACAATGTTACAACTTTAATGCACGGAAACAAAAATTATGCCAAGGCATTTGTTTGTCAAATGTTTTTATTTTTAGAACAGGAAACCATGACGATATAACCACTTGACGGCGCATACAGTGCTCCGACGCTCGAAAACGATTGCTGCGACTGCGCAAAAACTCGAAAAAATATTGTTCACTTAGATGTTAATGATTTACCTGATCAGTGACTTGCGGTTCAGGTAGCACCAGTTTGCTGCGCTTACGTGCCGGCTGATCTCCTTGCAACATGGCTTGGGGCACGTCATTCTCCTTGCGTTGCTTTAACTTTTGCTTATCCTTACGTCTGTCCCTCTGTAACAAAATAATAGATTTAGAAATATTAATATTGCTGAAGTAATGGGTATATTTTAAAGAGTTTGTTTATAAGCACTAATGTTTAGAACTACCAGCTCAATTGAACTGGTATTTTTGAGCAATCGAAACCAATTAGTGAGTAAAACCACGCAGGAACAGCTAATTATCTTTAAAGAAATAATTTTCTTCCTTACCTCTTCCTTCTCTGAATGTAGTTCTCCATCAAGATGTTGTTGCCTAAGCCTTGAAAAATCAGGCGCCATAGGATCTACCACTTCTGTGGAGGTGTCGTAGAAACCAGAAGCCGGCTTCTTCTCAAATGGTATTTCCGAGTTATAATCTACACCACGCTTCTTTTTACGCCTGCAAATAAATAGTTAACATTTTTATTAATCGTTAAATGCTGGATCCAGGATAAGTAATTGAATATCAGATTTATGTACTGTATATTATCTAAATTAAGTTTGTCTTTGTCTGTAGTCTGTCGTAGTAACTATTGATATCAAATATAATTATACTATCAATTAACAACAAACTAAAAATAAACATTATCTGTTCCACAAACAGTACTGTAGCTTATTGATTATCATCATAATAATACCTGATTGGCACAGCAATGCCAGCAGCGCTCAATTCTCTCCTCTTTTGCAAAGCAGCAAGACGTCTTGCCTCTTCTAGCTGCTTTTCTCGCGCCTTCCTTTTAGCTTTCTTACCCTGCGTGTTGGCTAAACGAGCACGCGCTTCTGACAGCATCTCCAGTTCTATGGGAAACAATATTTAAATGGGATAATACAAAATATTTTTATTTTACTGTTTTTGTTTTTCGTTATAGGTCCACAAACTAGCTAACGGATTTCCTGAAGGCAAGAAATCTGCGCCGCCCATGGACAATAGCAACAATAGAGGAGTTACGAGTGCGTTGCCGACCTTTTGGAGATTAGGGATTTGGGATATTTAGGGATTGGGGAGGGGAAGGACCTCCGGTAACCTCAGTCACAAGGCAAAACACAATGCTGTGGTTGTTTCACGCCGGTTTTCTGTGAGGCCATCACTCCGATCGAGCCGACCCATTTGTACCGAAACATGGCTCTCTCACACTTAAAATTTATTTTTTGATTAGCCATTTATGGCAATATAGTTAATTGTCGCAGCCCATGGACACCAACAAAACCAGAGTTGCTACAGGTGCAGGGATAAACTTTTAAAGGGTAGGATTTAGCAATGAGAGGATGATGGAACCTAACCCAATCTGACTGACACGGTAAAACACAGTGCAAACATTCTTTCAAGGTGGTTTGTTAGTACAGCTATTTATTCATAAAGTTATTGTAACTTTTTTATTGATTGGTAAGAAGGTTTATAATGTTGTAAATTCTAAAACCTTGTAAGTAAGTTCACTCATCTATTTTATATGAGACCATAATAAAAATAAATTACAAACAATGTCATTGCATGGTAAGCATTTATTGTAAAGAATTTATTATATTACTCACCATCTTCATCCATATCCTTGGGGTCAGGCCTAGCAGGCTTGGTCTCAGGGTTGGGGTCAATTTCACCAGGCTTCAGCTTGCGAGGATCATCACCCATATCCTCTCCCTCCTCCTTCTTTTGGGCTTGATCTCTAAATTATCACAAAAAATAAATTACTTTTTGTGTATGTTATTGAAACCTAAATTAACTCATTTATAATTGTAGTACGAGAATTGGGTAGGTAGGCAACCTATCCTGTTTTGAAAAGTCATACATGTTAGGTTGGTTATGATGGTTTTAAACTTATATGCGATAATAGCTATCAGTACAGTACAACTTGGCCATGTCTGCAAGGTAAGACTGTCATGCAGCACCTAAAGTGTATGACCACCATTAAGCTACACATAGCACTGGTTAATACTGGTAGGTATGTTAGTTTTTATTTTTCAGTTCAGGTGAGTAAGTCTTAAGAAAGTATTGGTGTATATCTTACAGCAAGTATTCGTATCTTTCCAAGCATTGCGCGGCAGTACGCCCTATAATTGGGGCGATAGTGCGCCACTGTGTGGGCATCAACTTGGCCAGGTGCAAAAGCTTCTCGTCCTCTTCCCGAGACCACTCGGTCTTCTTGATGCTCGGGTCGAGCCACTCGTACCAACGCGCCTTGCATTGTTTTGCAGACTTTCTATGCAGAAGCGACGCAATACGAGACCATTGGTTTTTTCCATATTTCATAACCGCCGCCTTGAGGATTTCATCCTAAAAACAAAATATTTACATTTTACAAATAAACAACATGCATACTACCGAAATAACTTGTTATTTCAATAAAAATTTACAAACCTCGGTGTTACGCCAAACACCACCCTTTATCATAATTCGTGGCATGGTTTATGTTTTGTTTGTTACACCGATCACTAAATACAAAGTATTATTTTAAAGATAACTTATGAAAATTACACCAAGTTAAACTTTAAACTTATGATTACATATTTATTTGCAAAAAAGATAACCCAACATGAACTCCAATACAGCAAAGAGAATGAGCGAAGCGAAATTGGCATTAGCAAAGTAATGTCAAAACGCTGTCATTCTATTACGGTTATTTTTGGTGCTCTACTTTTTTGTGGATATTTATTATAGTGAGTAAATAGCTATACTCGGAATTTTAATTCCATTCCAGATTTGACAATTTCAGTGTTGCAACGTTATGACACGTAATAAATAGTGACGTTGCGAAATTATTCGATATGGAAATCGAATACTTCTGAATCGATTCCTCTCGTTTATAAATTTACTCTCGTAAACTAAGTTTATCAGGAAATAAAATATTTCTGAACCGATAATTTAGTTTTGACAATTAATTAACGATCTGAGACTTTTCTTTTGTAATTGTGTGTGAAATAAATTAAAAAATGTGATCATGAAGGAACGTGACAAATAAAACAGACATTTTATAAATTGTCGCCGTCATCGCTATCGCTATTGCCGTTACTCTATGTAACATTTATTATGAATTGTGTCTTTGATATTTATTGTCAATTAACATATCTAGCTTACTCATTTTTTCCTCTTCTTTGAAAACATGGGATACACATTTAGACCATTCGGTAGCTGTAATTTTTTGAATGCCGTCCTGAAACTGATTCACTGATTGTTTATCGATTTTTGTGTTCATCACTACACTGTTATATGTGGTATCATTATTTCACAAAATGACAGTGGTCAATGTCAAATCAGGAATCGAATTAAAAGTCTGACTATAGACAGATAATCTTTTCATCATCATCATCATCATCATCATCAGCCCTTTTCAGTCCACTGCTGGACATAGGCCTCTCCTATTGCACGCCACTGGGATCGATCTTCGGCCACTCGCATCCAGCTCCTGCCAGCCATCTTGCGCAAATCATCACTCCACCTTGCCTGAGGACGTCCTACATTACGTTTGCCGAGACGCGGTCTCCACTCAAGAACTCGTCTACTCCAACGGTCATCGGTTCTTCGGCTAATATGGCCAGCCCACTGCCATTTCAGCTTGCTAATCCGGTGGGCTATGTCGATTACCTTGGTTCTCTGCCGGATCACCTCGTTTCTGATTCGATCTCGCAGGGAAACGCCGAGCATAGCCCTCTCCATAGCTCGCTGAGTGACTTTTAGCTTGTGAACCAGCCGCACCGTCAGTGTCCACGTTTCGGCTCCGTATGTCATGACAGGTAGGACGCACTGATTGAAGACTTTCGTCTTTAGGCACTGTGGGATCGACGACGTGAAGACTTGACGCAGCTTTCCATATGCTGCCCAACCTAGCTGAATTCTTCTATTCACCTCGTTCTCGAAATTGTTTCTACCCATCTGCAATGTCTGCCCGAGGTATACATATTTTTGAACGACTTCGAGAACAGCGCCGTGTACTGCAATCGGTTCCGGTAGTACATGTTCATTGAACATGACCTTGGTTTTATCCAAGTTCATCCGTAGGCCGATGCGTATAGAAGAGTCAGCCAGGTCATTCAGCATCCGTTGTAGGTCCTTGTGGACTATGAGAAAGCCTTTGACTCGGTCGAAATCTGGGCTGTTCTGGAGTCCCTGCAGCGATGCCAAGTAGATTGGCGATACATCCAAGTGATGAGATGTCTCTACGAGGCCGCCACCATGTCCGTCCAAGTACAGGATCAGCAAACAAGGCCGATACCGTTGCATCGAGGTGTGAGACAAGGGGATGTTATCTCCCCGAAATTGTTCACAAATGCAATGGAGGATATGTTCAAGACGCTGAACTGGAAAGGACGCGGCATCAACATAAATGGCGAGTACATCTCTCACTTGCGATTTGCAGACGACATCGTCATCGTAGCAGAAACGCTGCAGGATAATCTTTTGGACTTTCTTAATTATTAAAGTAAGCTGTATTGTATTGTATTGAATAATTAATTCAATTAAATTATCTTATTAAAATAAAATTAAAAGACTTGGTGGTCAATCAGTTTTTTGGTATAGCAATTTTGATTCCATGAATGCCAACCTTTCAAAACTAGCTAATGTCAAACTGTTATAAATCTAAATGGATGATAGCGTTTCTGGCACTCCCTTTTCCTTGATTATTGATGAAAAAGTTAAAAAGTGCAGTGTAAATTGCCTAATATGCTTACCCAGTAGCCAGTGTAATCCTCTGCATAAAATGAAACATTGATTTGCTGCGTGAAATTAGTACTGGAGCGTAGCAATAATAAGGTAACTATGATTCAAGCATATTTATCATTGCGATGGTACTCTCGTGCTACTTTGCATTCATCAGCTATTGTTTTTACTGCATCTATCTAGTTATGGAAAGAGGAATAGATAAATATGTAAAATAAAAACCAAGAGAAAATTAGTTTAGTTCCAGTATGAAGGATACAGCTTGTGCAATCAGGAAGGATATGATAACACAAATTGGATATGCGGTATTAGACCAATTGATTCATCAGCCGGGCTTAGTAATAGTCGGAGTCGTACTTACAACATCATAATAATTCTACCATTGGCATCCCCTAATGATGTACATGCACTTTTATGGCTTATTGGTTTTTGGATGACTAAAAAAATTACACTTATGCTGATTCAAACAATCCTTTCAAATGTTCACTATCAACCAAACTTCAATATAAGAAGTATTACAATATCTAGTTTATATTATTTACATCTCTTTCTAGTTATGACTAACAAATGTTATCAAAGGAATTTGATTGTTTTAACATTGTGTTACAAGTTTGGTAAATCATTTTCCTGTTATTGTTTTAACAGAGTATATCAAATTAAGATTGAAATCAAGTAGTTACTTTGTCTATTTAACTATTATAGCTGTATATTGATGGAAAATTCTCTTTTTGTAGAATCACATCAACCATGTCCAGATCAGTTCATATCAGCCAGCAAAAGCTGGCTGAAAAACTCATCATACTGAATGACAGGGGGATTGGAATGCTGACTCGCATCTACAACATCAAGAAAGCGTGTGGAGATGCCAAATCTAAACCTGGTTTCCTGTCTGACAAGGCCTTAGAATCCTCTATTAAGAACATTGTTAGAAGATTCCCCAGCATTGATGTCAAAGGCCTCCAAGCTATTACCAACATCAGAAATGAAATCATCAAGTCTCTCTCATTGTACTATTACACATTTGTAGATCTTTTAGATTTCAAAGACAATGTGTGTGACCTCCTCAACATTTTAGACTCATGTCAGGTCACATTGGACCTGACTTTAAATTTTGAACTGACAAAGAATTATCTTGATCTGATCACCACTTACATTTCATTGATGATTTTACTCTCAAGAGTAGAGGATCGTAAAGCAGTGCTGGGCTTGTTCAATGCTGCTCATGAAATGGTTCACAATCAAATTGATCAAAGTTTCCCACGCTTGGGACAAATGATACTAGATTATGATGCTCCATTAAAGAAGCTGTCTGAAGAATTTCTGCCACATCAGAAGGTCCTTTCCAGTGCCCTTAATTCATTGTGGCAAGTGTACCCTGCAAGAAATCTAACAGCTGAACACTGGAGATCTGAACAAAAGTTAAGTTTGGTCAGCAACCCAGCACAACTGCTGAAACCTTCAGAAACAAACACCATGTCCTGTGAATATGTATCACTGGAATGTCTGGAGAGATGGGTCATATTTGGTTTTGCTATCTGTCACCAAATGCTGCAACAAGATCATGCTAACAAAATGTGGGTGAGTGCCTTAGAGTCGGGTTGGGTTGTAGCTCTGTTCCGTGATGAAGTTATCTATATCCACAGCTATATCCAGAGTTTCTTTGATGGTATAAAGGGTTATGGTAAACGAATTTCCGAAGTGAAAGATTGCTATCACCATGCTGTACAAAAAGCCAGCTACAAGCACAGGGAGAGGAGGAAGTTCCTAAGGACTGCCCTTAAGGAACTGGGTCTCATATTGACTGATCAGCCAGGGTTATTGGGACCCAAGGCATTGTTAATTTTTATTGGTCTCTGCTATGCTAGAGATGAAGTATTTTGGTTATTAAGACACAATGACAATCCACCACAAAAAGTAAAAGGAAAAGCCGCTGAAGATTTAGTTGACCGTCAGTTGCCAGAACTTCTGTTCCACATGGAAGAGCTGAGGGCTCTCGTAAGGAAGTACAGTCAGGTCATGCAGAGATACTATGTTCAATATCTGTCAGGTTTCGATGCTGTAGCTCTAAACTTGATGATACAGAATTTGCAAGTCAATCCGGATGATGAGAATACAATTCTGTCTTCACTGTGTAGTACTGCCGGGAATTTAAGCGTGAAACAAGTTGAAGATAATGAATTGTTTGATTTCCGCGCATTTCGTCTTGACTGGTTCCGGCTTCAAACATACACGTCGGTTGCTAAGTGTGCTTTTAACCTTGTCGATCAGAGAGAACTCGCACAGTTCATAGATAAAATGGTGTTCCATACAAAAATGGTTGATAATCTTGATGAAATTATGGTGGAGACGTCTGACTTATCCCTTTTCTGTTTTTACAGTAAAATATTTGAAAGTCAATTCCACATGTGCCTTGAGTTTCCGGCCCAAAATCGTTACATCATCGCATTCCCCCTGATTTGCAGCCACTTCCAGAACTGCACTCACGAGCTATGCCCGGAAGAAAGACACCACATTCGAGAGCGAAGTCTGTCTGTTGTAAACATATTTCTCGACGAAATGGCCAAAGAAGCAAAGAATATCATCACTACGATTTGTGACGAGCAGTGTACCATGAGCGATAAACTACTTCCTAAACATTGTGCGCAAACTATTGCTCACTTGGCGAATAGGAAGAAGAAGGACAAAAACAAGAAAAACACAATAGCGATTGTACAGCCGGGCGCGGAGAGCTATAGGAAGACCAGAGAGGAGCTGACTACGATGGACAAATTACACATGGCATTAACAGAGCTCTGCTATGCCATCAACTATTGTGCTACTGTCAATGTGTGGGAATACACTTTCGCACCGCGAGAATATTTACATCAACACCTGGAAACCCGATTTTCCAAAGCATTAGTTGGTATGGTTATGTTCAACCAGGACACAAGTGAAATTGCGAAGCCATCTGAGCTATTAGTCAGTGTTCGCGCTTACATGAATGTCTTGCAAACAGTCGAAAATTACGTTCACATTGACATTACTAGAGTGTTCAATAATTGCCTTCTACAGCAAACGCAAAATACTGACAGCCATGGCGAAAAGACTATTGCGTCTTTGTACACACAATGGTATTCGGAAATCTTACTCAGGAGAGTTAGTGCTGGCAGTATCTGCTTTTCCATGAATCAGAAAGCATTTGTTAGTTTAACTGCGGAGGGCGCAATCCCATTCAATGCTGAAGAGTATTCTGATATCAATGAGCTTCGTGCATTAGCTGAACTCATTGGCCCATACGGCATGAAATTGTTGAGCGAAACATTGATGTGGCACATTGCTAGCCAAGTCCAAGAGCTTAAAAAGTTAGTAGTACAAAACAAAGAGGTTCTTCAAATGCTCAGAACAAACTTTGATAAACCCGAAATAATGAGAGAACAATTCAAGCGGCTGCAACACGTTGATAACGTATTGCAGAGAATGACAATTATCGGCGTTATTTTGAGCTTCAGACAAATTGCGCAAGAATCTCTTCTCGATGTTTTGGAACGCCGCATTCCGTTCTTAATTAGTTCAATAAAAGATTTCCAACAACAATTGCCAAGTGGTGACCCAATGCGTGTCATATCAGAAATGTGTTCGGCGGCTGGATTGCCTTGCAAGGTAGATCCTACGCTAGCATCAGCTCTCCGACAAAACAAGACGGACGTCGAAGAAGAAGAACATCTGATTGTATGTCTATTGATGGTATTCGTTGCCGTGTCTTTGCCGAGACTTGCTCGAAGTGAAGGGTCTTTCTACAGGCCATCGCTAGAAGGGCATGCTAACAATATTCATTGCATGGCGCCAGCAATCAATCATATCTTTGGTGCTCTGTTTACAATCTGTGGTCAGGGAGACATAGAAGATCGTATGAAGGAGTTCTTAGCGTTGGCGTCTTCGTCACTGCTGCGACTCGGTCAAGAAACCGACAAGGAAGCTATTAAGAACCGAGAGTCTGTTTACCTTCTCCTCGACCTGATTGTTCAAGAGTCTCCATTCCTTACCATGGACCTATTAGAATCTTGTTTCCCATATGTTCTAATACGTAATGCTTATCATGAAGTATACAAACAAGAACAAATGGCGTTGCATTTATAAATTATTAAGTAACTTGACGAAAGACAAAGCTTCGGTATATTAGTTATTTGTTTTAATAATATCACTGTAGAGACAAATTTCAATATCATAAGTATTAATGAGAGATAAACTATGTAACAGTCACCATTATTATATTCGAAAGTTTAACACTATCCGAAAAGTTTGGCTTTAATGAGACTGGCTTACTATTCCTTTTTTTATCGAAATAGTTATTTGTTTATGTTTAATGATTTGTTATAATTAGGCAGTATAAGTAAGGTCAGTGTTCTATTTAACATAAAGATATTAAAGTATTGCAATCAATTTAATATTACGTATAAAGTAAGCGTAACCTACAGAGGCAACAATAAATGATTTCAATATGAATTCCGTAGCTGTACAACTCACAAAGATAACTTAGATGATATGTTTAGGTAATTAGTTATATAATTGCCTCGATGCTTTTAAATGTTTTTATTAGTTAATAAGATATTCCAAATTTTTATTATAGTTAATGTACTTTTTAGTATCATTTAGACACCGCCTATACTATCTGTACTTGTAATGTCAATGTTATAAGCGACACTTTCGCACTCATATGTATATGTAATACAAAAACACTGTCGTCAGATTCTATAACTATTAAGATTTTTAATTCATTTTTTATGTAAAACCTATTTAAAAGACAATTTCAGTTTATAAGCTACTACAATAGTCAGAACAATGTTTAGCTACTTTTAGAATAAAATAATGCTAATCCCACATTCTAAATTAAAAATTAACTTTATAATGATGAGTCAATAGGAAGTCAGTTAAAATAAATCAGAATGACCACTATTAAAATTATATTTATTCTCGTGTGAACGTATGCCCAATGAATAATATGAAGTATGTATAATTAATTTTTCGATTATTTTAAAATGTATGGACAAAACTCTCCTTGAACACATTTGTATACTTCTGTTTATGGTCTAGCTTGTAATTATGATACTTTTGTACCTTGTATATACAGATATATCCTTTATTAAACTATTAAATAATATATTATATTGATTTTTATTGTTTCTACCCCTTTACAAAGATCACGCTAGGTAGTGAAGCTATTTGCTCGTTCCTTTTGTAGATTCCTATAGAGCAGAACAAGCAAGAGACTCGATGGTTACTCTTTTTTATTCAGATTCATAATTCATTTTTTTATTGCATTCATCATACTGTGTACCACTAATATTTGAATGCACGGTGCGGTGGCTGGGCAACGTGTCGCGGGTTCGATTCCCGCAAAGAAAAACTGTAATCCATAGATTGTTGTTTCGGGTCTGGGTGTGATTGTGTATGCGAAATTTTATGTTTGTAAACGCACACACAATACAGGAGAGAAACCTAGCGCGAAGCAAGGTTTAAAAAAAATTGATCACAGAATCCGAAAAACAAAGCAACCTCAAGGCCTCTATATTCTGTACCTAGCCATTGACAAAAATTCAAGCAACAGGAATAAACCCATCAAAAAGTTTCCCACTGATGTTGGTTATGGATATCATATAGGAATGCGCATACTACGTACTCGAAACACGTCGTGTGGTGAATGAAATCCGAGGTTAGTAGATTACTCATTTTCCATGGCGGGCTTTCATTGGGTGCTCATATTCAGTGACCTTTTATTTCGCTGAATTTGATTTTTTTTTATCACACGAGGTATCATCCAATTTTGTGTAGTTATTCAAGAGTGATGTGTACAGTCATTCTGGACATCCATTTTTATTTTTATTTATTCACATACCATTAACACGAGGTAGCAATAAAAGCACAGATTTCATGTAAAATTTATTGTATTTTTTTATTATTTTGAAATCACATGTTGTAACATTCATCTTGTTAATTAAAAATATTCACATTGTCATTTAAATAATCTATTACGGTAATCTAGCTTACACTTAGGAGAAATAATGCCATTGAGTACTACTTAGTGGCGGATGCAACGGATCACCCGCCGGTTACACGATTGGTCAAGTCATTCTACAACAGAACATTACCCTCAGTTTACATACATACAAATATACAGTATTATAGTACAATTACAAGAACTTGTGTATTGTTTCGACATTCACTAATAAAATGGCATTAATATGGTATACTTTAAGACCGATTCTTAACATTACAATGTAAAGAAATAATAAAAATACATCATGCTCTTTGGCTTGCACGACGGAAAGGAATACTACGCAATAATGATTGTAAACATAATCTCATAATCTATGAAAGAGATCAATTGAACTGTACGATAAACCATTCTGGTACACAGGCATAGGAAGGGAGCGGAGCGTGATATGCAAGTTTGTTTAATCAGACTGGTGGCCACCGCGGCAGACACCCACGCGCTACTCTTACACTCACGAACAATACAAGGAATGAGTTACAAAACGTTTAAACGTCGCCATCGACGTGAAAGTTTCAGTCTAATAACATTTTGATCATTTGGCAATATTGTTAAAATAGGATAAATAAAATAAAAGAATACAAAAGTAGGTACATTAATCGCCATAGGAAGACTAAATGCATTTTTTGAAAATATGTAGGTATTTGAGCCCATTAATAATAAATTATGAAATATACTTATGATAAATGTATTATCACGATGTAGTGAGAAATGAAGAACTAACGATAAAGGAACAGGAATACAAATCGGTATAATGGCACCTCGACATTCCACTTACGATACTTTAAATACGTTAAAAATAACTTTATATAAAAATTACAATTACGGAGATTCGAGTAAAACAATGCGGATACTTTACAATTACCTCTAGTCGGTATGAACGTTCCGGTCTATAGTCGTATGATATTATTACATCGTAGCCTTTGTATACCTCTCCATTTATATACAAAAATATACATAAATGTCCGGTTCCGGGAGCAACACTCTACTGAACAGTTACAAGTATCACTGGTTCACACGAACTTCGCGCCGGCCCTAAGAGTCCCCGGTACTTCTGTATAAAAATAATAATTTGATAGACGACCGCGTCGCTCGCGGGCATTTCCTACTTTGAGCTCAGAGAGGGAGGATCGTCGGCTGGGATCCTTGAGCAAAGAGAGGCGCGGCGGGCTAGTCGGCGGCGCGCGTGACGGTGAGCGCGTCGGGCGAGTGCAGCGTGATCGTCGTCTGCGAGCCCACCGTGCGCCGCCGCCAGTAGCCCGGCGCCGCGTCCGCCCCGTCCGCCCCGTCCGCCCCGCACGGGTACTGTCACACCTTCTGCGGGGGGCGCATCTCGTATGACTGCGGATACGCGTTCGCGTAAGGTTCTGCGCGTCGCCCGCTCGGACCCGCCGGCGCAGACGCTGCCGCTGTAAATATTAACATGATATTAGTAAATTGTTTAATGATAAATAACATACATTATGCTGCCAATCAAAAGTAGTATGTTATACTTACGTCGGTCTCTATGCGCATAAGTGAGGGGCGGTGCGTACCCCTTGTGTCCCCTGGGCCGGCGATGTCCGGCGCGGGGCGGCGCACGCGCAGGGGAGCGCGCGGCCGCGCCGCCCGGGTGACGCATGCGGCGTAATGTGTTCATTGGACGTCGTAGCGTCTCGGATAACCGCCTAGAACCACAAATACGTTATTTAGTACATATTCATTAGTCTCTTCTCATTGATTAATATATACTAATATTATAAAACTAAAGAGTTTGTTCGTTTGTTTTAACGCGCTAATCTCCAGAACTAAACAATTATTTTTGTGTTTGTTAGTCCATTTATCAAGGAAGGCTATAAAACATCACGCAACGATCTGTAGGAGCTTAGCAGCGGGAAACGGCGTGAAAGTCACTAGTGATAGATAAAATCCTGATATCCATATTTTAAATAAATATTTGTCTACAGTAAATTGTAGTTACCTAGCCGGCGGCCGTTTAGGATTGGAGGAGGGCGTGTGTACAGCGCAGCACTTGACGAAGGCGCCCATGCAGACGATGAGGCCGACCCCGGCCAGCAGTACGGCCCACCACTGCTCCGTCACCCACGCCTGGACCGACTGCAGCGTGGCTCGGTTCAGCAGGAGGTTCTTCAACCGAGCTAGCGGACCTTCCGCGTCCACTGCACGGCACTTCAAGAATACATCACAGTAACCCTGCAGACAAAATGAATATTAAATTGAATTGTTGTTAAGTGAACATTTGAAGTCTCATACTAAGCATGACTATGGGTATTGATTAAGCTCTATATTATTCATCATCTTTCCCTTAACGTAATGACGACAATGAGGCGAATTAAGATGATCTAATTTAATGTCTCACGTATAAAAAAAAATACTTTAAATTTTTTGTACCATATTTTTGTTTACCTGGAAGTTATCACAAGGCGAGCCGGGTCGTAGACTGATCCCGCCCTTGGGTAAGCCGACACGGTCTGCGAAGTCTGCGGTGCTCTGGCACTGGTCAGGTCGCGGGCCGACCTGGCAGGCCAGCTGGCACAGCGCGCGCCGGTCCACGACCGCGGCGGACACGCCGTCGCCCACCGAGCGCGGCGTCGACGACAGGAAGCATTCCGTCATGTTCCACGCCAGGCATATTGAGCCGCGACACTCTCCGTTTAGGCACAGTTGGGTTCCTATAAACACAGAACTTATTGAACAATATGCTAAGCAAAAACGTTTAAAGTTCTTTCATTTCAGCAGCAAGAAAATTTATGGTCCAAAATACTTTTCGAAAGTTTTTCAAGTGGAATTCTGAATAAAGAGTGTTTGAATAGAATATGTTTTACATATGTTATTATTATTGCATATATGTTCAATTTGAAAATCATCATTAAATGCCAGTGTTATATTTCTTCCGTTGTATTGGTGGTGACCTTGAGATTTGATACCTTTTTTATTTTTTTGAGGGGAAAATCATCAAATGGCTTCTGGGAGGAGGAGGGAGTGTCAGACTCTTAAACATTAATTTAAATACTGACCGTTATTGCACATGGTATGGTTGGGCATGGCGCGTGGCTCGGGGCAGTCGGCGGAGTTCCCGGAGCAGAACGAGGCGTGACTACACTCGGATGCCTCGCGACACGTCTGGTTGCGCGACGCCGGGACAAACTCGCAAGTCGCCGCGTTACAGCATGGACCTTGCGAGGGACTGGAACCACAAATGTTTTGTTAACACACAACACTACTGCTACAGTACTCCATTTATTCTTTTCTACTGCGGGGAGGGGTTCGGTAGCATTCTTGCTACCGTAATTTCGAGTAACTTTGACCCAGGGAGGTAACTTTGATCCAAATTTCCAAACCAATGAAAAACGAATATACGTTTGGTACAGTTATTGTTGGTTTAGTGGTTTGGATCAAAGTGGCCCGAACTTAACCAGTACTATATTCGAATTCGTATCGTAGAACAACGGTTAGAAGAATTGGTTGATTTAAGACAAGTAGCAGAAGAGCTAGTAATTAAAAAAACCAGGATAATGAAGTATCGTACCTGCACTGTGTATAAGCTCTCCTGGCGCAGCCTTTAGCGGAGGAGTTCTTGGCATCCATTGCACTTAGTTGGCGCGGATAGCAACATCGGTCCTTGCATTCATTCTCGTCATAACCTGGGAGAGATAATATCAGTTGCTCATTATGCTCGTTGAAAAAAATGGTAGGAATGGTTGGAATGTTTATACGTGTTTTACTTTCTTTTTCAATGTAACAAATTATATGCTACTATTACAGTTAAATGTCGTGGGGGCCCGGAGGTTATGGCGCCTTCTTTTCATGCACGAGGGTTCGAATCGAAACCTGACAAGTACCAATGTACCAATGTAACTTTTTCTGAGTAATATGTACTTTCTATGATTATTTGGACAGGAAACCTGGACTTCTGATTTCTAATTATAAGTTTGAAATCGCCAAACCACCTTGAGCAAGCGTGGTGACTATTGCTCAAATCTTCTTCGTGTGAGAAGAGGCTTTTGCTTAGCGCACTTATAGGCTGATGCAGACTATTCAAGGTCACTAGTGAGGTTTTTGAAGAATGTATAGATATATATGTAAGCGTGTGGTACCGCAGTCGCACTCCTCG